AACCATTATAGAAAAGATGTCTTATCTCCAGAACTGAAATAGGCAGAGTCTGGTAAACGTTTTCTAATATTCAGAATTATCTAGTATTTAGAAATATTTAGAGGTGCTTTACCTTTTTCTTCTTTTGACTTAAAGAGTTTTTCATTCTTATTTATTCTACTGTTGTATTTTCAGATAGTCATCAGGCTTATCAGACTACACAAGCTAAACCTGTTCAGTCAACTCTCCTATGATAAACTTTCCATCCTCCTTTCACCTGGGTTCCTCTCCCCATTCCTATTTTAGTCTAAATGTAACCTCTCTTGAAGAGCTGAATTCAAATTCTACACGCTATTCCCATAGCAGACATCAAAGCTTTGTGCGATGGTAAAGAACAAAGATTATTTTTCACCAGCTGAAATCTCTCTGAACACCTAGGACTTCTCTTTCTAGTCTAAGACCTTTTCCACTGAAGCCAACAACTACTGAATGGCACTGGGCAACCTTACTTGCAGATGATGGTTTAGAAAATTAGTTTTTTGATAGCTAAGGTCACTTGCTGTTTTAAGCATGTGGAAGATGCATAACTGGGATTATCAGAAGACAAAATCTAAATGTCTTCCTATCATAACTAAGAGTACTTGGCTCCTGCCTTTCCTAATTCATGACAACACGATGTTCATTAGCACCTCGATTACAAATCTCTGGAGCACTCCAAAGAAAACATAGAAAGGGGAGGAAAAATTCATATGGATTTGGTATCATGGAAAAGTAATTTCAAATAAATAATCAAATTAAGAGTCTCTCTATGGCTCTCAAAAAAAAAAAAAATTACTGACGTTTCTTTGGTGAGTATATGACTCAGTCTTCACGAAGAACATCTATATTGAAATACCTGGATATGCCACCAGAAAACAGAAAGCAATGGGCAATTTACTGTTCAGAAACATCAAAAAAGGCATTTGCCAGGTCCTGACAGTTTCTCCATAATAAAACTAAAAAGCTTGGTGAAAACAACAAATATGACTGCTAGTTATTTTTTTCAAAGCAAGAATCTTCTAGAATGAAAAAGCATTGAGCAACATAAGCATCAACTCTGCTATCCATTCTCATCATTTCTCAAAAAAAAAAAACACACCCAACACTTTATACAATTAGTCTTGTCATGCACAAGGTTAAAGGGTTAGCAAAACAGTCAGTGAAAAAAGCAAAATCCTGCTAAAAACCCTTAGACGAACCCTGGGATCTACATTTGGTACAGTTGGATACTGCAGTATAACTCTACTAGCTTCAGCTCAAAGTACATACAAGTCATACAGGCAAAAACTTTCATGCAAGCAATTAATACATTGTTTGAATCTACTAGCTTGGGAGTATTTATAAGACTACATGAAAAGCTTGACCAGAAGATGACACTGAAACTGTTAGCCTTTACTGTTACTGGAACTTATTACCCCTTCTCTACACATAAAAGCATTCAAGCAGGCCAGTGTCAAAGAACTGAAGGCACCTGAAACAAAACCCAAGGAAATAAATGGATTTTCTTACCTTTCTTGTTTTTTTTTTTTCCTTTTTTTTCCCCTTTTAAAATGCCTGTTATTCCCTCCCCTTATCTATTTATTAAGAACCAGAGCATGTCTCACTTTTGCCAGGACAAAAGTTTTATTAGTAACATTTCACGAGTTCAGAAAACATCAGTTCAGTAAACAAACACAGGTTTTACTGGGTGACGTGTCT